AGAGCGTTTGATAGGGTTTGGCATATCGGCCTTCTACGTAAGCTTCAAGGATACGGTATTAGAGGATGATTTGATTTAATCCAATAATTCCTATCCAACCGTGGAATGAAGGTTGAACGGGCTCTCCTCTAGTTTCTTTCATACGAGCGCTGGTGTTCCCCAAGGCTCTATTCTGTTTCTGATCTTCATCAATGATTTTCCTGACGTCATCAGTTCTCAAGTAGGCATCTACGCAGACGACACTACTATTTACTCCTGTCTCGATAGTAAATCCGTCATTGCTGACAAAGTTAACCTGGCCGTTGGTCTCGAAAAGGACATCCAATCTGTAGTTGACTGGGGCAGGAAATGTCTTGTGAATTTTAATGCCTCCAAAACGAAACTGCTCTCATTTACCCACCATAGAGAAACTTCCCTGCCTCCTATCAGCATGGCTGATGCTCAACTCCAATGCATCTCTCTGTGTCTTCTTGGTCACACGTTTTCCATTGACCTGAGGTGGAACAACTACATTGAATAGCTTCATCTACCACAAGGAAAGTTGATTCTCTGTGTCGCGCCAGGAGGTTTTTTTTCGTTCGAAACCATCCTTCACATCCACAAATCTACCATTCATCCTTGCACGGAATACTGTTGCCATATATGGTCTGGTGCCCCGCCGTTCATCTCGAGGTTCTCAACAAAATCCAAAGACTGATATGCAATCTGATACGTCCTGATCTGGCATCTCAGCTCCAATCACTTTCTCACAGACGTAATGTGGCTTCCCTCTGTCTTTTCTACAAATATTTTCATAGCAACTGCTGTGACAAGCTATTTTCAGTGGTGCCCAAGCTGCATGAATTTAAGCATGTTACAAGGTTGGCATCTCAGTACCACCCTTTTAATATTGAAACGTTAAAATGTAACAGCTTCTCTCGCACTTCCCGTCGGTGGATCTCCCTTCCTCTTAATTGCTTCCCTGATAACTATAATCTTCAAAAATTTAATCTGATGTCTTACTCTTGATCCCCGTCCTTTTCTTTATTCTTTCCTCTTACTAACACTCTCTGTAACACTCCCGCCTTGTTTGGGGGTGAAATGCTTAGGAAAAAAAAAAAAAAAATTAAAAATTAAATCATCAGAGAAATAATTAATATGTAAGCATATTTTCTCTTTAAAATGAATTTCTGCAATTAAATAACACTAACTTATGACATTTTCTGCTCATTCTTGATGGAAAGAGAGAGTGAGGAGGAGGAGAAGGAGAGAAGTAGAAAGAAATATTCAAACAAAATACTCATTATACAAAAAAAAAAAAAAAAAAAAAAAAAAAAAAAAAAATGAAATTTTTGAAAGGAGAAAAAACAAAACATCCTAAAATTTTTTTTGCACTTATTTTTGCAAGTTTCACTATTCAGTTCATTAGTGAATGAAATAAAGTAATTAACTAATACAATACATCCCCTAGCTACCCCCCCCCGCCGCCTCAGCTGGTATAGTGGAATAGATAGGGGAATCAAATAAAAGGTTTGGATAAAAAGAATATTGCAGAAAACATCATACACCTATTAAAAGGAGTGTATGAGTGTTCAAGGAACATATAACAGTGTGCACATGTGAACAGCTTGACACTTCAGATTGCACATGCACTTAATTGGGTGACAGGCAATAACAGATCACATCAAATATTATGAAGTGAAAATTTAAGATAAAACTGTCACATTTCACTCCAAGCAAGGCAATAAAGCCACTAAGATGCAAGTAGTTACTGAGTGTGAGAGAAGAGAAAAAGAAAACATTATGAAAGACGGAGAACAATAAAAGAATAGAAATTAAGATAACAATTGATATTGATCTTTAAAAATTTAAATGCAAAGTTGACTAGAAAGCAAGAAGTTGAAATAGAATTCCACAAGTGAGAAGTACGAGAGAAGAAACTATTAACATAGAACTTACGGTTGTGTTTAGCAATTTCAACATTAAAATGATGAGACCTAGCTGCCAATCTAGTACTCTGCTTAAATTACTAAAGTCTAGGTACCAAAGAGGAAAGCTGACCAAAAGTATTAGCGGGGAAATATTTGGAGAAAAAAGACAGGGAAGTTAGATTACAGCAGTGGGAAAGGGACTGAAGCTGAGATGCCAGGTCAGGACCAATAACAATGCAAATTGTGTGTGTGTGTGTGTGTGTGTGTGTGTGTGTATATATATATATATATATATATATATATATATATATAAATGCATGTTTCATTAAATAATATAGACAAGTTTTGTCTATTTTAAGTAAGTTCATTTCATATTGTCTGATAAGCTTAATAATATTATCATTGAAAAATGAAAGGAAATCACCATATCGATACACGTTTAAATCTAATCTAAGCTTTCAGCTTACATAAGCTATTATCAAAGATGACAATTACATTTCAATATATCAACCAATACAAGAACGAAACAATAATGAGTCTGTTTTTGTTGCATGAAAAATTTCAAAGCAATGACTAACTCGTGTATACGAGACGCGAAAGCGAAAATTGCGTCGCAGCTTGTGATGTCATACATGAAACCTAAACTGAACAAAATAAACTATGAAATCTCCACAAATATTCTTAAATGCTGATAATTGGTAACAGAAGCCATTGGTTTATACCAACGGTTTCCCATACTTAATACTTCTCGTTTTCATGCTCGTGTGGTCATGTGTGACGTCATGAGCTGTGATTTTCACTTCCATGTCTCATGTATGAGTTAGTCGTTGCTTTGAAATTTTTCATGCAACAAAAACAGGCTATCATTATTGTACCACGTAGTTTGAATATATTGAAAAGTAATTGTCATCTTTGATAATAGCTTATGTAAGACAAAAGCTTAGATTAGATTTAAACATGTATCAATATGGTGATTTCCTTTCGTCTTTCAATGATAATGTTATTAAGCTTATCAGACAATATGCAAGGAACTTAAAATAAATAGACAAAACTTGTCTATATTATTTAATAAAACATGCATTAACGAAAAATTGCTGCCTAAATATGCACAATTGTTGCCATTTTGTATTTTTAATTTTGTGCATGCACATTGTTTTTGATTTTGTCAACTGCACAGTATATTAGGGGCAGTTGGGAACTGACTGCGAGAAAAAGTGCACCATAACACAATTTACTTACACAGCCTTTACTAGTTGATTTATTTTTGGCATTGAGTAATTTAAACTTAAAAAGAAAAGCATTCATTACAAATTATCATTGATCTTCTCGTTTCTTTCTTTGATTGCTAAAGATTGATTCTGTGGAAAAATCAGTTTGGGGAAAAGATGGTAATTTACATAGAATTGGAAGAACATTAAAAAAATCTAATGTTTGATCAGATTTTGTGAAATGGATTGGGAGAAGTTGTAGGAAAGTAATCCATTAACTGAAGTGAAGATACATAGCTGTGTATATATTGTGATAATGTTTAAAGATATGGAGATTGACACTATGTAGTAACTGCTAAGAAGGCTTATTAATAATAAGAAATATTACTTAAAAAAAAAATAATACTGCTAGGAATTTTGAGTGGGCTTTATCTGTTGTTTCCATTTGGTACTGAAATAGATGCCTTGCTCATATGCAGATTGCAGAATAGTAATCCAACAACATATGTTTTACAAATGACTGGCCAGATAAAATGTAATGCAAAAAATTTAAGATTTGCTGTTGATTCTAGAAATAAATGAAACAACAAATTAAATTAATAAAGAAAAATCAGGTTTAAGAATAGTTGTTCTAAAAGGAGTAAATCACAATTAAAATTAAAACTATCCAATCAGAAAGGAGATTATTGACAAATATAATGTGTGCTGCCTAGTGAATTTCATATAATCTGACAATAGAAAGCCACATTAGGTCTCCATAAAATAATATGACCTAAAAAAAAAAAGAAGAAAAAAAAGAGAGGTACCTTTCAACCTGTCATTGTCAAAAGGGGATTTTTTTAATAGCTAATCTTTGCTAAATGGTAAAATTTTATTGCTATCAACAGAATTATTGCTAAATAACAAAAATCAATAAAAATTTAGTTAGCAGTTCATTGAGCAAGATGAGAAAAGTAGAAACAGGTTGTCTACTGAGTAAACTGAAATTATATACACTTTCTAAACTGATTTTATCAATAGATTTTAATACAATTTACAAATTTACTTCACATCAATCCAATATTTTAATAATGACAACAAAGGAAAAAGACTAAAAGGAAAACAAACCCTTAGCTGTTATATAATTCAGTGGCAATAGACTGTGTTTGATAATATATGTCCAGTTTAGCTCAAGATGCCTTATGTGTATCAGCAATTTCGGATAAAATTGTGTATTTCTTTGAATACATTGGAAAAATAGAAAAATTTTGTAATGTAACTTTTAAAATTTTAATAGTTTTTGTAATAAACCTGCATAAACTCCAGTTTTTTCCCAATAAAATATAACCTACTTGAAAAATAAAATTTTATTTTAAATAGTCTCAGGTTTTCAGACATTTTATCTGAAAACAGATATTTTATTGAAAAGCCAATATTCTAAAGTCTGTAAAAACAAAGAGGAGGAAGAAAAAAAAATAAGAAAACCCTCATTAGATATTGAAAGGGTTTAAAATATTCTAAATGGGAAAATTTTGGTCATTTTAAACCTAAGTTTTTTAGTGAGAAAATTATGATTGAAAAGTCACAAAACTGTAAATTGACATCTGACATTGAGAGCATCTATATCTTTGTGTTCATAATTTGTAATTCCAACTTGTTAGTAATATTAAAGAAATAGCTTTGAGATTATAAGAGAAAGAAACCAGATTTAATAAATAATTTACTGGCAACCAGTGGTTTATTTGGTGCTGTTCAAATAAAATCTCGCTTCACATCTACATATATTTTACTCTTTAAATTTTTCAGGGTTTCACTTACCATAACAAAGGGAAACAAATCGGATGAACTAAACTACCGTTAAAAATTATCTCCCTTGGATCAGGTCGGATGTTTGTATGATGGTCTAATGACCTTCATTTTTTAAACTGTTCATTGTAACAAAGAAAAAAAAGAAGAAAAAAAAGAAGAAAAAAAAGAAGAAAAAAAAGAAGAAAAAAAAAGAAGAAAAAAAAGAAGAAAAAAAAGAAGAAAAAAAAAAAAAAAAAAAAAAAGAAAAAAAAAAAGAAAAAAAAAGAAAAAAAAAGAAGAAAAAAAAGAAGAAAAAAAAGAAGAAAAAAAAGAAGAAAAAAAAGAAAAAGCCTAACATTGAAATGCATGAAGGAAAATGCAGAATATAGATTTCAATTTGTAGTTACTTTCATCTTAATTTTTAGACACCTTTTCTTTTGGCAAATTTATTTAATCTATGGCATTTGTTAGAAAATGAAGAGCTGGTTTGTATCCAAGTTTGATATTCAATTCTTTCTTTTCTAAACCTAGTCATTTAAACTGTAGAATTAAATAAAATGATTGGCAAATGGAAATGAAAATGCAAAGATAAAAACTGCTGAAATGGGAATTAAGTGCAGCAAGAAGAAAGAAAAAGAAAAGAAAGAAAAAGAAAAGGAAGAAAAAGAAAAGGAAGAAAAAGAAAAGGAAGAAAAGAAAAGGGAAAAAGAAAAGGAAGAAAAAGAAAAGGAAGAAAAAGAAAAGGAAGAAAAAGAAAAGGAAGAAAAAGAAAAGGAAGAAAAAGAAAAGGAAGAAAAAGAAAAGGAAGAAAAAGAAAAGGAAGAAAAAGAAAAGAAAGAAAAAGAAAAGAAAGAAAAAGAAAAGGAAGCTTCCCCTATTTCATGTTGGCATCAAAGAAAAAGAAGAAAAGGAAGAAGAAAAAGAAGCCCCCCCCCAATTTCATATTGGTATCAACATGAATCGTGTGTGAAATGATTATTATTTTTTTTATAAAACTTTTTTTTTTAAACAGATGAAATGATGAAAAACATTAGCAAACAATGATTTTTTTATTGCAAACAAAACATCTCTTCTGATGGAGTGAGTAATTCTTTTCTCACATCCATCTTGATTAAGGGTAAGTGGGGTTGGAAACAGACAAAGGTCGTGGGGTGGGGGGTACAATAATGAACAGAGCAGCTTGTCTGCTCAAGGAATTAAGGATCTAAAAAGAATTCCAAGACAATTTTCTATTTAAGGCAGAATTTGTCTGTGTATGGGTTTTAGATTCTTTGTTCCAGAAACTGAATAGAAATTTGGAAAATTGAACTGACATCTGGTTAGATTTTAGGTTGAGTGATTTTAAGAATTTAAAAATATCAAATTGTGTTTTTAAATTTGTTTTCTTTATCTTGGGTATTAAATTTGATTATGGCTATGTGCTGTTTTCACATATACATGGGAAAAAAGAATGAAGATTTAAAAGTTTAAAATGAATCTTATAATGATCAAGTAATAGCAAAAAAATAAAAAAATGCTTACGAGAAGTCGGTCAGAGAAAGAGTTGACCTAAGGTATTTGGTTTTTAATAAATAAATGGAAATAAAAACTGATAGAATTTAAACAAATCCCTCACATCAGCCTCTAAATTAAGTGGGTGAGAAAAAATATTTCCCTATATGCACAGCAAAATAATTGAGGAAATTATTTTCATTTCATCATTTCTTGAAGATATTGTTTTCATATATTTCTACAAAAGCTTATTGCATTCTATTCAAAGCAGGTCCAGGTAGCTTTGAAAGTTGACAGACACATTATCACTTGGAGAAAGAACAAATCCTGGACAATATATCTGCTACATTTAAAAACAAAGAAAGCAGGTTTTTATGATCATCTTTTAAATTAGGTCTTACAATCAACAAAGGTTAACTTATAATTTTGAAAACTATTTTAATTCAGAGAAAACTATGTTTCTTATTTCAACAGAATAACAGTGATATGCTCAAGAAAAACATATTCATGATCTGAGCAAGTGACAAGCTTTGTACTGTCAAGAAAAAACAACTCCATTGATAACCAAGTTCAAGAAAAAAAAGGTATGATCAATTTTTGTTTTTTTTAGGTTGATAAAAACCATTTATATTAAAATGGAGTTCTCCAGAACAAACATGATTTCCCTATCTCTGGAAAGAGTAGTAACAAAGATTTGGAAAGTTCCTCAATTAAACTCATTACTCTGTTTTTTTTTTTCCTTTGTCCATACATTTTGTTTTATTGTTATTATTAAATCAAAAAGTTCTATCAATAGCAAATGTTTATACATTAGGCAGTTTCTAAATTTGATTGTTTAGGCAGGGAAATCAAATCTGCCAACAAAGCTCAACATTGCTGTGTATGTGTGTGTGGTGGTGGGGGATGATGGTATCAAGTAAAGGACACTTGATAACCTTGATAATCATAATTCAAAATTCTGGCTTTTCATACCAATATCAGTAGGAAGGCCATATTTATAGAGAAAATTTATCTAACATTCCAGTTTCAACTGTAAACCAAACATAAGAATATTACAATTGCACATAAAATAAATGAAAGAAAGAAAAAGAAGATTATTTGAATAAGTTCAGTCATTCAATGTCAATCAGAAAATGAAGAAAAGAATAAAAATTAACAAAGAGAGGAAAAAGAAGAAAATGTTAGATAAACAAAAAAAAAATTTTTTTTAAAAATTTAACCAAAACTTGTTCAAAAATTTTTATTCCCATTTATTATTTGTTTATATTTATACCAATCCATGGCACTTGAAATATATGGTAGGTGTATGATAAGTGGATCAGAAGATTTTTTTCTTCTCTATAATGATCCAGTTAATCCCAATGAACTGTGATAATTAATCAGATCCAGTTCTGGACCCATGAAAATCAAAGGACTTGGACCTGCTGATAAACATTTAAATTGAAACTATTTTAGATTTAAATTTTCATTTTGAATATTATTTATTCATTCTTTACGACATTGTCGGCAAGATTCCTCAGAGTTCTAGCAACAATGCAGAAACAGATTTTGTCAACCAGTTGTAGTTGGGTAAACTGCTGATTGAAAAATAAATCTTATGTTATATGAAATCAGTAGAAGCAAACAAAATATTTAAATGAAAGATAAAAAGGGGACATATGAGAAAGTTTAAAGAAAGAACTTATTTTGATAAAAGTTTGGAAATTAAATTTGTTCGAATTAACAACACCGACAATTTTATCAAAATATATTCTTTATGAGTTGACATGGAGTTTTCAGTTTCTGAGTGGAAAATAAAACATGCATATCACTTTTTAATTAACAGAAAATACTCATTAATTAAAATAAAAATGTCTTATTTCTAATTAATTAGTTCTATAATGAGCAAATTAGCTTCAATGATAGTTAAGGAATTATAAATGATCTATACTTCTGATTTTACAAGTACACAAATGGACTGACTGTTGTGAATATAAAATAAAGAAATGCTTGCCAAAATTCAAAGATTCAAGTGAAAGCAAACCACAATAAGAACATGACCACAACACCTGTGTAACCATTGTAGAAATTAAAAACATTTTTGTGCCATTTTTTGTTTAGCACTACTAATCTTCTCTGTCAATCCCAAGAGTTTCAGAAGTGCCAGTTAGAAGGACTATGACCATTTTACAAAAATTGGCACAAGGCAATCTTCCTGCAAGCCTTTTGGAAAAGAAAAAATATTCAACATTTTAACTCTAGGCTTGAACAGACCAAACTCTGACAGTAATGGTGAATATACCGAACTATGAAGCTATAATAGTCACTTATGCTTATAGCTCTATGGGCGTAACACTAGCAGCAGTACCCCCCCCCACACACACACACTCCAAGAGTAAATGTTGGATCTGAGATTTCCTGTTGACTCAGATCAAAATTCATTTTTAATTTTTAAAGTGTGAATTTAAAAAAAAAAAAAAAAAATGATGCTGTCAATTCTATTTTTATTATATTTACATAAAAGAATTTTATTTTAGACTCAATTGACCAAAAAAATGAAAAATAATTTTTAGTCATTTTCAAATTAACACTAATTTTTAGTGAATAAAAACTAACCAGAAATATTTGATGATATTAAAAAATATATTTATATTTAGAATTTGGTAAAAAATAGTAATCTTATTTGTTTTTAATACAAATAAGGATGTTCTGTAACACTAACATGTATATGGGTCATGGAGTGCTTACCATAATTTCATGATGTCACTTGTTACTATGTTTTCCTAAAATTACATTTGATTGGAAGAATATTCTTGAGGTTTCTAAATAAATTTAATGTTCTACAAAACACAAGATAATTACTTTTATTAGAATTACCAATAATATTTAATCTCTTTTAAATGTGTACTTAATTTTGTGATTTCACAAATTGATATATGAATAAAAGTAAAACCCACTTAATAGCTCCATCAAACCAATGTTACCAACAGAAAAATTTGTAAACTGATGCAACAAAATTGTTGAAAAGTTTACAAATTTTAAAAAGAGGAACATATTGTCTACAAGAGATTATTTTTAATGAATTAAGCAGATATAAATTATTGGAAACTGAGGTATTTTAAGGAATTGATTATGAATTTGCTTGTGGTTTTCAGTGTTTTTGTTCAGAGTTTATTTAAATGAAATTTAAAATAAAAAATTTATCAAGTTATACTTCAAAAGAAGTTGTGGGTTCATTTGCAGTCAATCGTAATGTGTATGTCAACACATTTTACACTTCTGTGGGTGGGTGGGGATAATGTAACTTGAATGACAATTCAAAAATAAGTTTTTTGTTTAAAAGGAATTCGTCCATTTCAAGTTTGGGGAAAAATCGAGATCAAGCTAAAAGCAAGGAAAAGAACAAATTCAAATAAAAGAAAAATAAATAAAATTTGGTTTTAAATAAATATAAAACTTTGGAAGCGGCATATATAAAGATGTTTTAAATATTTTTCTTTTTAATATTTATTTTTTTATAACAAAAATGTTTCACTGAGTAAAAACTTCCGTAAGTTTAATTTTTCTAAAATCTTATTTTGCATTTATTTTTTGGAGAACATTTTTCTCTTTGAACTTCCCAAGCATCAAAGAACAGCACACGTCCATATTTCCTATTCTATTAAAGAATTTTCCAATTGTTGGATCAAAACTGGAGTTTAAAGGAGTGAGGAATTCAATCTTGACAGCAAGTTTGTGATTGTATGAGATGTGGGAGAGGGAGAGAGACATGGGGAAGAGGGAGAAAGTTAGATTGTGTGTGTGTGTGTTAGTTTGTGTGCATGAAATTGAGTTTGTATGTGTGTTAGTATGTTTGTGTGCCTGCACACACATGAGATACATAGAAAAAAAGATGAGTTTCTGAAAATTTAGGAACAAACCATTCACATTATTAATCAACAGTACACATTAGCCAGATATATTGCATTCCTTATTTCTTTCAATTTTTTTTTTTTTTTTTGTTTTGCATAATTTATGTTAAAGACAATGCACAAATTTGCTGACATCGTGAGCACCATTGCAAGTTGAGTAACAGAGTCATACAGCTAATGTCATTACCGGGATAAACTAGAGAGAGTATTTGTTGATGCATTTGTCCCCTGTCTGCTTCCACCACTATTGTCTTCAGCACTAGTATCTTCATAGCCCACTTGGTAAAGTACTAGCTGTGAATAGAGGGCCTCAACTATATCGTTTCGTCCAATCTCACGAAGCTTTGTCACTAAAACGGTGATTGTGGCTTGCGGGTCCAAAGACCATTCTTCAAGAGTTCGGTTTGTTTTGCTTTCTAGCTTATTGCTACCAGAATCAAGTGATGGCAAGGCATTGGTAAGTCCCAGAGTAACAGCTAAGAGACACCAGTCCCGCCCCATCGGGTCTGGGGGATCAAGCATGGCACTCAATACACGACGGGCATGAATAGACAGTGTTGAAATATGCAGGTCGACCCCGAGGGTGACATTGTCCATGACATCAGGTGAGCCAAGAAACACAACTTCAGCAATACATTCAGGGTCCATGTCATCTAATTTGACAGTCAACGAATGATCAAGTTGACATTCTATTAATTGACGAGGACAGTAACTAGCCACAATCTTGCAATGTTCACTCAATTGACCTGTATGAAGAACATGTCGTTCTATGTGGAAATTTGGGCAAATATCATGAACTATTTGTTCAATTGCTGTTACAAAGTCTTCAAGGAAGTAAAACACGGCAGTTCTGGAGTCTTTTGGACCGCGCACTTTAATTTCAAAAAATTGCTCATTCTTGTCCATGTTTAAGATCCCTTCTAATTCTCCACAGCAATATTTAGATCCATGGTGCCACTGGTAAAGATCCAGTGTTGGATCAACCGTTTCTTGAATAAGGGTCCGCCTCAAGTGAACTTGAACCCTAGGAAAGAGATACTTAAATTGGTTGCCATTATCTGTGACAGACATCAATCGCATTCCTCCATAAACAGCGTCTGGGTAATGTTGGTTGTCCTTTTGCCAGAGACCAGTCAATGTTTCTATAAAATTCAGGCAAGGGAATTCATATTCAATTTCCCCATCATTATCACACTGAGTGCAGACTTCAAGACACTCGAGGACTTGCAGCAAGTCGAGGGCATCTGTCTCTGGGTACATAAGCTGGAAATCATCCACTGTGAAACAGCCAGTGATTCGGGTCTGTAGGATCTTGTCATGGGATATCAAGTTTCCTATTACATCAGTGCACAGCCATGAAGGATTAAGCACTACAAGATCTTGACCATTTTCACTTTCAAGATACACAACCTGAAATATAAATATAAACATTTAATATTTACAAATTGAAAAGAAATCTTTTTATAACATACAAAATATTTATTCATTTAAAACAAGTCACCAGATCTTTAACACTTGATCCATGTTTGCACAATATCTTTCTCGTATTAATGAATTCATGAGACATTCAAGAAAGTACTCTTTAAATTAATTATTTTCAAACAAATTTTTTGTTTTTTACAGTTTGAATAAATATATCTCATTATTATTATTATTAATATATAACAGAGTTTGTATTATAGATATTTAAGAATCGAAAGCATTCAAATCAGATTTCTTTCAATTATTTGAAGATCTTAAGATAAAAACTGTTAAATTTCTTGATTTTTCATTTCGTGTATTGTTTTTTCTAGAAGTTTAAAATTTGGTGTATATATATATATCAAAAATCACACCAGCACCAACAGTCTGTTGTATATGATGATTTTGTAATGGCATGCTTTTAATGCATGATCTGCACTTGGGTGTGCAAGTCCAGGTCGGGCCTGACACGGCATGTGAAAAGGCACATTGAAGTGATGATGATCAAAGTCAACTTCTACCACCCGGAGATGATTTGATATGCCACATATGTGACAAGAAATGTAGATCGATGGCCACTAATATATATATCTATTCTACCATTTTTATCTATGTATATTTGCCTGTATAAGTTATATTTTAATAAGTGGTTAGAATTCATTTAATAACATGGCTTTGTCAATGTATGTGTGTGTATGTATGTGTCTTTATCGGTGTTTGTGTGTATGGTCACTTGTGTGTACCTTTCATTGTGTATGTATGTTGTCTTTTTTTAAGGGTCGTAGAGATATTTCCTGTCTCATCGCTTTCTTGCGTGTTTATATATATATATATATATATATGTCTGCGTATTTATGTATTATAATCTGATTGTGTATATATTGTCTTTTGCAAGATTTCATCCACCCTTGCCTCTGTTTCTGCTTCAAATGTATCTACGTTTTCATGAAGTTCAGAGCAACATTTGATGTTGACGTTTATTCCAACTTAATTTCAATAAAAACAAAATAAATAGAAACACATTTTTTTTTCCTCAGTAATTTTATAATTTGAAACTTAGTATAGATTAAATTTAAATTTTAAAATTGGTAATTTTTAATTTCAAATTTTATCGTATAATTTAATATTTATTAGAATAAATTCTATTTTAGTCTAACCCCAACATTAAAGCATTAAATAATTATTATAACCTTAGTCCGTTGTCAAGTTTTTTGAATTCTCATATACTTGTATTGTGATTGGTCATTGCAGCTTATGTAACAGCGTTTCCCTTAACGAGGAGATGTTTGATTGATTTGAACCTTTTAAAACCCTTTATTCTACATTCGACAGAAGCACTTGATAAGACACCTGAAGTGTTGAAACAAAATGGCTATTTTTGTAGTGATTTTATAACATATTTATGTTATAATTTTGAATAAATAATAATATATATATATATATATATATATATATATATATATATATATATATATATATATAAAAAGTCAAACAGATAGATGTCAACAATAATCAACAAGAAAAAAGTTTAACCAAATAAAAAGATTACTAGATGTAAAAGGAATTTATTCTTTCAATGCACTTTCTATGAATTTTTTTCCAATAGACTATTTCATAGAAAATACCCAAAACTCCAACAAACATCAAATTTTATATATATATATATATATATATATATATATATATATATATATATCAAACATGGAACAGACTGTCACCTCTCAAGTGTTGACCTATTGACTATACCTCTCAGTGTATATATATATATATATATATATATATATATATATATATATATATATATATATGATGGTGTTTTTGTTCATTTTTGAGCGTAAGCATTGTCTGAAGCACCACTTGAGCAGAACAGGTGTAACTTTTCAGGCCGGCAAGGGACCTAAACTCTTTGGCACATGAGCTACTTGTTGGTCACCAATGTATTCTCATGGGTTGTTTCTAAAATTTAGCTGATTGGTAAACCTTGTTGTTATACCATAGCAATACATATAGCATAATACAATTGTTTATAATAGGTACCTCCACTTTTTTGTGGAAAAACAGCAAAGCATGATGAAAAAAATCCCCAAACTCAATAAAAACAAAGTTTTATCATCAAAATATTTGTTATTAAAAAGTATTTTTAGATTATTTTTAAAGATTTTTTTAATCGTTTCTAGCATGTTTGAAATATTTGGTTAAAAATCTTGCTTTCTTTACATCAGCAGTTGGCATAATTATGATTAGTTTTTTGTGCTTTTTTTTTTCTGGTGATAAACACATTGATCTGGAAATTCTTGCAAAAATCAAATAATTGTTGGATTTTAATGAAACTTTCAGGACATATTCAGAAATGTATGAAATCATTTTTTAAATTTAATTTTTTTTTTACATATATTACCACCCACTTAATTTCATGAAATTTTGAGAATTAAATTTTTAGGGTGGGGATTTTTTAATTAGTTAAAAGCAAGACTCCTTGAAGAATGTAAATCATCACTTTTTTTTTTTTGTTTTTGTAAAACACTTAACCCATTCACCAGAAATCTGCTCTGAACTGTAAAATAAAAAAATGTAATAAAACCATGACAGTATTTAATTAGAAAAGCTTTTAATTGTTTTTATAAATAAAATTTATTAAGGACACAATTGTCTTAAGAAAATTTTTTCAATGAATAATTAATTTTTACAAGATTTGTTTTCATTTTTTAAAATTTTAATTAAATATTAAAAAATTGTTTAAAATTCTGCATTACTTCAAGGCGGTTAGGTAATATTTTTATTAAGTGAAAATTATGAGTCAAAAATTAAAAAGCTCATAACAGTGGTTTGTACCCAATATTTTTAAAATAATTAAAAAAATTTTTAGTACCTAAATATTCCCAATTTGTAACTATGGTAAGCCATAAATGATATTATCCTTTAAAAGGTCACATGATTTAAGAGTCGTCTGGCACTCTGCAATTCTTTCACTTTCATTATTCAGTTCTGTTTCATCATTAATGTCTGCAAATCATTCCTTCAAAATTTTAAAGTAAATTTCACTTTTTTTTAAATTACTATTCCACTAAATATTTTTATTTTATGTATTTATTTTAGTTTGGGTCATAATTCAATGAAGTAATTTTTTGTTTAAGTTAATAAACTTAAGATAAGAACATAGAGACGAAACCCAAATTTCATAAAGCATCTTCAAATGTAAGTAAAAGTCAATAAAATATCAGATAATTGCTGAAAATATGTTAATTTGTAAAAATTAATAGGTAGTTAAAAAAAAAAAAAAAAAAAAGCATTCACTTAGATTTCATAAATTTATGTCAATTCTAGTCATCCATACTAGCTGTCAACACCTCAGAACTTATCAATACATCAATGATGACATAAGAAAAACACAACCTGTCATTAAGAAATGCTTGTATATTGCTTTTTTCTGCGATAAGCAATGTTTATTTCAAATCAAATTTAACATTAAATTTATTAATTCTAATCAAATAACATATCACAAATATATATTTTATTTTTGGAAAATTTTTAAAACTGAATTTTGTTTTGTTTACAAATTTCATAAAATGAAGAAAACGGATGAACTTCTTTGAGGTCAACAGCCATCTAGCAATCTCTGCACGAGGCCATAGAAATATTTTGGCTAGTATTCTGATGCACGGTTAGCCCACTGGGTGTGGGACCTCCCAAACCTTCTGGCAGTTTCCTAGGAGAAAGAAACTCTGATAGAAAACCTGCCTCATGGCCACACTAGATATCTTGCAACTGCTTGTCTCAAGACAATGTGGCTTTGTGATTAGAGTCAATGCAGTACTGTGCAAGCTGCATCAGGCCTTAAAACCACATGGGCATTACTGACAATTTGTTATACACACACACACACACATTTAACAAGTAAAATAGAAAACCAAGGGAAGTAACCCCTACAAAAATAACTTCCATTAAATCATGATTTAAAAATAGAAATAATTTATAACTATTAATTGCTAGCTTCATTAATAAATCAGAGAGGTAAAATAATAAATCCCCAAATATTTATAATCTCAATTTATCAAAAAAGGAAAGCATTGCAAAATATTCTAATATGGTTAGTTTATCCAAAGTTATTTATTTTTACACACATACATATGTACAGTGTGCCCTTTATCCATTTAAAACTCTTTACACTACAGAAGAGTTAACAAGATTGGAAAAACTTAATAGTAGGCCATTTTTATTATGAGCTGCCACCCCATTTTATTACAGTTGCATCATCAAGGTATTGTTTATAATAAAATAATTATTATATTGTCCAATATTGCCAGAGGCAAATTGTTGTGTTATCTGAAAGCTAAATAATTATTTACCTGCTGCCCCATGCAGCAAGATGTGGCACAAGGCCAAGTTTAAAGTGGGCTATCCGAGCCTGTAGGCTTAGGCAAAAATTCCCTATAGACCACATAAAAACAGAGTCAGTTTCCCGAGACGAGACTCTGCCCTTCGAGCAAAGCCCTGTCTAGGGAATACCCACTGACATCTTACAAATAGAGTGAGGGACACTACATAAATGCATGTCCGCTAAAACTGTTTTGATGATGACATGGATATGTCAAAAGTACTTGGTAATAAAACAAATATGTATAAACATGGCGATTTTCTCTTATCTTTCAGTAACAGCATCAAAATCTTTCCGAGAGTATGAAAGGATCTTATCAAAAATGAGTAGACAGAATATATCAAAACTGTACAATGAAACATGTCTATATATATATATATGTGTGTGTGTGTGTGTGTGTGTGTATATACAGGAGTCTGTACTGTTTATATGCACATTAATGTTAACTGTCGATCACATTATATTTAACAGAAGTTCTTTCGATAAAGCATTTTAAATTATAATAATAAATTAAAGGAATAAGATGACAAATTTTAGTCTTTAGAAGTAAATAGTATCCAAATTTACTATTTATTAATTCCTTATATGTATACATTAATAGGGAAACAGAAAAAAATGGTAGTTAACTTACTTCTCCAATTAGTTGTAAATGATGAACAAGAGACTTTAGGTGGATTTCTCCAGCAAGTGGGTTGATCTTGGCACGAACATATTCTGAGAAATTCTTCCAGGTTAATACAGGAAATGAAGAGGAAGAACGACGCCAATAGGGAAGTTGAAAAACAGGAAAAAACCATCGCTTAAAAAAAAAAAAAAACAGTTAAAAAAAAGCCAGTTAAAGTGAAAGGCAATTTCTAAAAAAAGAAAAACAGTTAAAAAAAAAAATATATATATGTAAAACATTATGTATACTTATATATTTGAACATAAAACATTTTTAAAATCATTTCCTTACGAGATATGAACTTTTAGAAAAACTGAAAATTGGTAAATTTTGGTACAAGTATCTTTTTTTTTTTTAACTGTCGGAATACAGAATATGTAGGAAAAAAAATACTTAAATTTTTCTCCTTTAAGAAACTCTTTTGTATACTCATTTTTAGTAAATACAAGTACTCTCTGGAATAGTCATGTTGGTGGGATTTTTTTTGCTTGTAAAATAAGCGTTGCTGGTTCAAGTAAATGTGAGAGTGTAGTTTTTCTGATGTAGTACAATTCCGAAATAGAAAAAAAAACATACCACAGAGAAATTTCAAAGATAAATGCACTGTACCAAATAAGCAGCATGTTGGATGGGTGAGGGTTGTTAAAAGAAATAGTTCTACCACAATTTGTATTTGGTACACAAGAGAAGCAGGTTATACGAGAATTCATTAAATTTGAAAGATGTTCTCAGTGTTGATGCAGAAAAATAAACAAATAATGATGATCCAAGAATTGCGGGGGGGGGTATAAACTATAAACTTTTTTGACTTATATACAGTGTGCGAGGGATAAATTGGCGCCTATCGTAAAAAAACTAGAGTAAACTTATTCAACAAAATCGCCATTGACTTTAACCCCAGCCTCCAGATGACTTAGAAATCTCCTGCGACTCTTCTGGTCTGTCTCCTTGTCTTCAGTTCATCTTTGGTGTTACAAAGAGTTTTATTGGTCCCTCGCTCAACTGTGCCCCACATATCAAGGGGGTTGCAGTCTGGGGAGTTAGGTGGCCAGATGTAAAGGGTGATGTGGTTGCAGAAATTATCTGACATCTATGACCGAGTTCTCCTGCTTGTATGGCATGGTGCAGAGTCCTGTTGCCAGACACAGGTTCTTCCAGCAGCCACACTCAAGGCACTTGATGTAGGCATCTATGTTGAGTCCGAGGCCCTCACCAACAAATTTAAGAGTTCTTTAATCAAAACGCTCAGTGATTTTTCCGAGCTGCCATACCTTTGTAATCACCATTAGACTCATCCAACTCTTTCTGAATCCTTTGCATTGTCCTCACATTGACACCCAAATAAACTGAAATGTTCGTATTGGAGCTTCTAGTGTGAATACCAAGCAGTACCACATGCCATTTCCAAATTTCTGGCAGAATTAAATATGGCATGGTGTTCTTTTTCTCACAGAGAGCGCCCTGTATATGAATTTTAAAAAAATGTTGTGCCAAAATATTCAGCCCATAGATCAAGTCCATTCCTTTTATTTTTGAATTCAATCACTGAACTAATCAATTATTATTAACCTGTTTAATATGTGAATTGATAATACATAAAAGAGAATATTTTCTACAGGTATTTGACCTTACTCGACCTATAAAAATTTTGGCTGCAAATTTGTCATAAGACAAAAGTCACCATTATTCTGAAAGTCATGTCCTTCATAATTTACCTGATTTTTCAATTAACCTGATGAATATTTATGTTCGTTCCTATACCTAAAAAACTTTGAAAAACCACTAACATTTTTGCTGTTGTATATAAATACTTGTTATAAATGAAATCATCGCATTTGCCTTGATAAAGTTCCTCAGAGGATGAAACATGTCAGCTAAGATAAGTTTTCCTTTTGTCTTTATCCCCCCCCCACGTATATCATTCACTGTTAGGAATGTTGGGCTACATAATTTTCATCTCGTATCAGTCAATCTGTTTTTGAAATATTCAGTCAGTTACAGTGAAGTGTGGAGTAGCTAGTGTTTTTGCTGCCTGGGGTGGCTCACAAGTTTGTCGCCCCTCCCCAGAAGTAATACAATATTAGAATGCACATTAACCTCTTAAAATATTTATATATATATATATATATATATATATATATATATATACCATCAATTTTTAATATTTTTATCCATTTCTCAGAATCTAATGTTAGGTTTTTTTTCATGTTTCTGTTAACGTATTATTTATAACTCTTCACTGATAAATTATGAAATAAAAGTACAATTATGTTTATTTAATTTTTAAGAATAAAACTGGGGATATATAAAAAAAACGTATACATTATTTCTTTTTTTCTAAATCAAGAAAACTTTAAAAAATTTTATGATATTAAAAGAAAGATAACTTGTTTTTGTTTATATAACCGCTGTTTTATTTAAAAAAAAAAACACCATAAAACATATTGTACTTTTAATTCATAATTTATCAGTTTTTTTTTAAATATTTATTTCAATTCTAACAAGTGAAAAGTCATAAATTAAATGACACGTTAACAGAAATACGGTTTTTTTTTGTTTTAAGATAAGTTTTAACAATGGAAAAAAAAAATGCAATGTCTTTAAATTTTGTTTTATGTAGTTGAAGTTATTAGCAAAGTAGTAGAGACTAAGAATTAAAAGTTTAATAAAATTAATTTCACTTTTAAAAACTGAAATAAATGTTATCATACTTTTAATTCTTAGTCTATTTTGTTTAATAAAACTTCAACTACCTAAACAAAAAATAAAACATTCCATTGGTTTACTATCATAAAAAATTGAAAATTGAAAAAAAAAAAAAAGCCCATTTTTGGACTTTAAATAAAGTTTCTGCACTTAAAAAAATATATTAATTTTTAATTTTCTTTTAAATTTCTGTTTGATATTTCCGGAAAAAATTTGAATGCATGTGATATCCTTAAAGCATTGGAATTCATTTTATTTATCTGTTTTAAAGTTTTATAAATAACAATTTTATAATGATTTTAAGCTTGGCCTATGATAAAATAAAAAACAATTGGTTCATTTATTTAATTTTTTTCACTTACAGTTGACAGACATGAAAAATCAAAATCAAAGAACTGATTCCAAAGTCTGGACTTCTCACATACGGTGTGAAAAAAACTGTGGATTTACTAAATCACTTAATCCAACCCTACATCAAGCCCTTTAAAAATGTTTAAATTTTTTTCACACCTTTTGCTCATTTCTTGTAAATGGCATTTATGCCCACCAGCTGACAGTGGGGTTTTGGAAACATTTTTTTTTTTTTTATTGCTGGCTAGCTGACTGTGAGTCAGTCATATCAAAGACAAATTGGATTCATTTGAACCCTATCTTCTTCCACATTGCTGCTTTTTTTTGCAAAAATGTTTGAAATTATGCTGTTGGTATTTTCTTTATTGAAAAATGAAAACTCACCACAGACCAAAAGTGCCGCCCAGGGTTGACTGCCCACTCCAAGCTACACCACTGGTCAGTTAAGTGCCATGATACATGCTTGGGCAATCACATATCTTTTGATACATGACAGATGAGGTAGATTCCCCCTGCAGTAGGTTGTCATTTCTTTCTGCGATAGACTGTTTGCCAACCAAGGCTAAAGAACCGAGACTGTCCTGCTATTCAACCCATAGCTGGGGGAGAAGAGATAGATTCATACCTTTCCTATCTCACTCCAAGCTGATATCCATTACACCACAATGCATATTTGAAATATTGAAATAATTAAATAACCCATTTTTCAATTCTTTTTGAGGCTCAAAACAAAAGATTTTTTTTACTACTGCTACAGAAGTTTATATTTAAAAAGAAATCATTTGAAACAAAACTGAAAGCAAAGATTGTCACTTTATAAGATTCATTTACCTTTACAATTGAGGATTTCATATCGGCAATTTGTTTCTTAAGTGCTTTCATATCAGAAGATCCAGCAACTTGAGTGTCTACCACGAATATTCTGTCAACAATCTCCATGTCATTACCGAACAGTGCCTGAGCTTTGGTAAGAATTATCTGTGCTTCGCGACATACAAATTCTCCACGGTTATTGCGAGGGTAGTTTGCTTGATCAGCATGAGTTGCAATGAGTATCATTTTGAGTGGAACCATTGGCTTGCCACATTGACCTAAAATGACAGATCATTGAAAAGAAAGAAATCTAAGAACATAGAAAACTATTTTGTTACTTATTACAGACATTATATTTAGCAATATATGATGCAGAGATTCTGACTGGAGTTTTAAAGCTTATGTTGATACTAATTTTGTAGTTCTAATCTGAAAGTTATGTCCAACAAGGCATTGCCCAACTAAGAATAAGTTAAGGGTAGATGTAGGTTTGCTAGTTAACATTTTGATAAAAATCAATCATTTTTTGTTTACGGTAATTGATGCACAATTTTTTTTTTTTATGGACTACTAAAAATATGAATTCACTAAAAATTGCTTAAATCTCAAGAGCATTACAAAAATTCAAGAAATTATCCGACTTTAAAATCTTTAATGATACAAAAAGACTTACAGTCAATAAGCCATGTACAATTTACATTCACTTTTATTAAAATTAACCTGATGGATTTGTGTCTAACTAGCATGTCTTTGGACACAATACACAAAGTCAAAGGACACAATACACAAGTTAAAATAAAGAAATGATATTTACCCAAAGGTGGTTGTAGAGGAATTCGTGATTTAACAAAATTGAGCCAAAAAATAACCTGTGCCAATTGTTCATCTAATGCATCCATTAAACTGAATGCAATCAAATGAACACAATTGATATCCCCAAGGAAATGGTCATAAAGCATATAATACGGTTGGTAGCCTGAAAAATCCCAAAAGCTAACATCTCCAATGCCTGCAAAAAGATTTTTAAAATATTACTTTGTGTGGATAGAAAATAAAATACATCTTAGTGAAGTTATCATAGAATTAGAATTACATGAGCAAAAATAAGTTAATGAATTTTTAGTATTTAAATAAAAGAAAGTGGTCCAGAAGTAAAACCAGAAAACAGTTTGATTAGGTTTATGTAAAAGGTTGGTTGGGTTTTATGGCATATCAACGACTGTAGTTATGTAAGAGGATATAACAAAACTAGATATAAACACAGAGAAGAAGGACATTTTATATATAAGCAAAAAAGTTTCTCCAAGGAAATAAGATCTGGTATATTCCTAATAGGAGATAATTATTCAAACCATGATAGAAGAGTTGTTACACAGATATATGGAGAGCAGGGGTTAAACATCATTTGCTAGCATAGTAATAAATATGTAAAAAGAAAAAAAGCCTCCTAATGCTCCTTGAATGTAGGCTGCATGCTAGATTGTATCCTGCAAATTTTGCCAAAATGACCAAACATCAGTTTAAAAAAAAAAAAGCCTTAAGGCTTCTTGGTTGGCCAAGGAGTTCTTGGCTGCCTGTCATATATATATATATATATATATATATATATATATATATATATATATATATATATATATGTGTGTGTGTGTGTGTGTGTATGTGTGTGTGTGTATATATATATATATATATATATATATAAATTTAAAAATAAAAAAATTAAAATCATTAGACACACTGGGTTGTAGATTAATATTCTTTCGTTTTTTTTATTATTATTATTATTCCATTTAGATTCCTCGACTAGTTTCGACCGAAATGGCCATCATCGGGAGGTGAAATATTTCTGCTTGCTGTTGGCAATGAACTACAGAAATGAATCTACAGAATCTACTACAGAAATATATATATATATATATATATATATATATATATATATATAAAGTGAACATAGAAGTCAACACTTAGAGGCAACAGTCTGTTTCATGCTATATGCAATCGTCAGGCCATAGGTCATATATATAATGACAGGCAGATAGAGAAATCCAAAATAACCTCATGAGAATAGCCTATTTCAACTAAGGTCAATGCACTAGCATTTTTCAATGCAAAGTGTGAGCTGACAATGTTAGAAACTTAAATTTAAATATTTATTGCTCTACTTTTGGATTGAGCTGTTTTAAGTTAATGTTTTGAACGTAATTGTATTCTTCGTTCTTTTACATTTGGATACATATATGTATATTAAAAAATTGAAACCAACCCTTAATAAAATTAATTATGAATATTGCACAAATGTTTTAAAATGCTTACAGTAAATAGCTTAAAATATCTAGGTTTTAAGTAATAGTTTTAATTATTTTTTCTTTAAAAGATATTTAGACATTTCAGTAATTTAGTTACTTCCCTTGATATTTCCACATGTGTCGACGTGATAAAATTTAAAAATTGTACAGTATATAACATTAGCATTTTTCACTTCACACACAAAAATTTAATTTTCAGATGAACAATAGTTTTATCTTAGAAAAATGATGAACAAAATATTTTGCCTTAGAAAATACAAGACCCTGATGACAACATTGTGCTAATATTGAAAGTACTCAGAATAAAATGAATATACATCAACATGGTAATTTTTTTTCTTTCTTTAATCTGGATAATAAGGAATTTGTCTGTAATTATGAGAGGATCCTATTAAAAGTAAGTAGACAAAACTTGTCTAAATTATTTATATATATATATATATATATATATATATATATATATATATATATATATATATAAGTGAACATAGAAGTCAACACTTAGAGGTGACAGTGTTTCATGCTAGATGCAATCATCAGGCCACGATTGCATCTAGCATGAAACAGACTGTCGTCTAATGTTGACTTCTATGTTCACTTTTATATTTACACACATGCTCTATCTCCGATATTGAGCACTTTATCCCATAAATATAGCACATCTTAAGACTATATTTTTTCATATATATATATATATATATATATATAGAGAGAGAAAAAATGAGAGAGAGTGAGAGATATTGACAGCCAGACAAAATGATAGAGACAATATTCAGTCAGAAAACACATTACAAATACCACGCTACAGTTTTTTTTTTAAACCCACTGATAGAATATTGAATTCAGCAAAGGAGTTTTCATCTAATTATCCCCAAATACTTGTTGCTATTTTCCTGAGAGCAGTAATTCACTTGTACTGACCACTAATTGTCACCTGTTGTACATCAATTCCTTTTGTGTAAGTTGGGTTCCCAATAGAATAGCATAATGGTGTTGGGAGACTGTATTGACGTAGCATACGTGAACGATCTGGAATAAAAAAAAAAAAGAAGAGAAGAGATATTTACGTAAGTGGTTGAGGTCGAGTGGAGGTAGTTTAAAATACAAAAATACAAAAAAAAAAAAAAAAAAAGGAAAAACTTACTTTTCTCTCTTGCAGATAAGGAGCCAACACTGAAGAGACGTCCTCTGAAGAAGCTGCTGAACAGACCACACTTCAGTGACTCGATAAGAGTAGATTTGCCGACAGCAGTTGAACCAAGTATTTTGATTTTGATCCGAGAAAGCGGTTGATTTATTGGATTCAGTTGTTGAATAAAGGCAGCAGCTCGATCCTAAACAAATAAATTGATTCATTTTTTTTTATGATTTCATAAAATTAAAACATCTTATTTCCACATACCCCAATACAAGGAAAGGTTTCTTATCCATTAATGAAAATGATAGCCTTATCTACATTGATGCTTTCAGATGTTGAGGGAATTTGAAACGTCTTTGCTAGTTAAAAAATAAAGATTAAAATTAATCTTCAGATATTTAACAATCTCCTTATGTCATAAATTCTAGCAAACCATTTTTGTAGAGCAATGGAATAATTAATTGCCTACAAGATATTTTTGAAAATCATAGAATCACAAAAAACAGCAAAAATAAACGAAGAAACAAATGCATTGTTTTTACAGTCTGATGTTGAACAGCTATAGTAATGATATCTGCATTTTTTTTTTATCATTTATCCCAAGCAAGGGGATAAAGCCACTAAGACACAAGGGGTGGGGGGGGGGGTTACCAAGTGTGAGTAGGAGAAAACAAACATTATTAAAGAGAGAGAACATAAAAGAACAGGAATTAAGACAGAAGATAATAATTAAATTTTTGTAGATCAAATTTGACTGGAAAGCAATAAGCTAGAAAAGAGTTCCTCAACGAAGAAGTGCAAGAGAAGAAACTAATAGCAAAGCACTTACAGTTACATCCAAACAATGTAACTGTAAAATGAGGAGTCCTTGTTCACAATCTAGTACTGCGATTAAATTCATAAAGTCTTTGTACCAGAGAGGAAAGTTCATCAAAACAATATTCATGAAAGTGTTTATAGAAAAAGGCAGAGAGAAGTTACGTTATGGCAGTTAGAAAGTGACTGAAACTGAGATGCCAGGTCAGGACCAATAATATTGTAGATTCTTCTTTGGATTTTATCAAGAATCTCTAAATACATAACAAAAGCAACAGACCTGATGTAGCAGCAATATTCAATGTATGGATGAATGGTAGACTTATAAATCTGTAAGATAGATTCTAATGAGAAAATTTGTTTGGTATGGCATAGTGAACTGACATTCTTAACAGCAGGCCAGTAGTTGAAGCTTTGAACTCTGGCATTGTGTGCAAAATTTAAATTTACAGACAGGTTTTCCTCTATCTCTGAAAGTTTGTAATAAGAATATTTCTAAGTAGAAATGTGCCTGTACTAAATCGAGACTACTCACAGCATGAACTTTATTAAGTAATTCAGCAATATCTGTATATCCTTGGGCTAAAGCCATAATTTCAGCAGTAACTCCATCCTGAAAAAGTATGGATTATATTTTTATTAATAATACACAATTTTCTTCCCATTTGAAAACTAAAAAAGTCATAATTTTAAGGTTTTTTTTTATACAGCAATACAGATTTATAAATAAGGAGAATAAAGAAAGAATCTTTAGTAAATAATAAACACGGTTTAATATGTATAGAAAACATATGAAAATTTTATACAGTAATACAAAAGACTAATGCCAATATAATGTGGGATATTTAAAAACAATCATGATAAAAATAAAATGTTAGAAACCTGAATGTTAGGTTACACATCCTTAAGGAATTTGTTGATCTCAATACATTGGATATTTAAATTTAAATCTAAGCATCCATATATCTTTAGTTTTTGATGTAGAATTGCCACTGGCACTTCTCGTTTTTCTTCACCCTCCTCACATATATGTGGGACTGACTCCATTAATAAAGCCTTTGTTAACCTGAAGGTGTTCCTTTTAGGGCTGAAGAATGTTACTTTTTTTTTTTCATTTTTGTCATTTAATTACCTACTATTTTGTATATATAAGTTTGTGTTGTTAAATTTTTCAGAATAATTCTAAAGACAATTTAGATAAAAAGAAGACAATTGGAAAATATATTTCTTAGTCATTGCCAACATGTTTCGTCAATCTGACTTTATCAAGGTAAGTTTAAAAGTGAAAACTAAAACAAATTCTTAATGAAAAAAAAAAAAAAAAAAAAAAAAAAGGAAAAAGTTACCAACATCCAGAAGGAGGCTGTCACAGAAGCATTCCTTTTTTAATATTTTGAATTTAAATTAAAAAAAATTTCGCTTTTAAACTTGCCTTGGTAGAGTCGGATTGATGAAATACGTCAGCAATGACTAAGAAATATATTTTCCAATTGTCTTCTTTTTATAGATTTGTATATATTGTATCTTTCATGGTAATACTGAAAGTTCTCTTGTATATTAATAAAATAAAAAAAAAAAAAGCTTTTGTTAGAATTAGTATACAAAAGCCAAACATTAATCAACTATTTGCAAATTTGATTGAAATAGTTTTCAGATAAGAGACCAACTTGTTTCAATTTCTGTCTGGGATGATGAATTATTTAAATTTAGACTAATGTCCTCATCTTTGTTGTTATTATCATTCAGGTTATAGTCCTTATCTTAACACAACATTTTGGCCATTGTGCCATCTAAGCTTCTTCAAGTCTGTTGTAACTTTCAGGGAATTTTGAATTGAGCCTTTTTTTATTCTATGGGAGCAGATTGTTTTTGTCCTATTGTCCATGTATAGGGATATCTTGAATTGGTTTGTGAATTTAGGGGAATAGTAATTGGGAATTCAAATCTTTGGGTCAGGTAGTACACACTTAGTGGAAACTGGATGAATAATAACTGAGCAGTACTAAAGAAAAACAAGATGAGATATCCCTAGACTTGGAAATGAGAACAATCTACCCCTATTGATTAAATAAAGGGTTTCAGTTTGAAATTCCCTGAAGGTTACCAAGATTAAAAGACATGTATAGAAGGCTGAAAGTCAAAATGGTCAAAATGTTGCATTAAGATAAAGACAATAGTCAGAATGATAATAACAACAAAGATAAAGACAACTGTGAGTAAATAATGTAAATAACCTATTTTAAAATAAGTTAGAGAAATAATGATTTAAGAAAACTGCATGATTGGAAATTTTCTAATCAAAATGATTTTCTGTAGATTGATAAAAATTAATCAAAAATAAAAACTTACAAAATTTATGGTAAATCAGAGAATCTATTTAGAGTTAAATCTTAAAAAAAAAAAAAAAAAAAAAAAATCTCAGTTACACTTATTCATCCATATTCTACCTGTTATGTGAAGATACTAAATTGGATGAATCAGTATCATAAAATAGATTGAAAATTTCCCTTGTAGCTTGAGAAAAAGAAAAACTTACTTTATTTTTCAAGTCAGCATTAGACCCAGCCAGAAGGAGACAACGAACAATTTCTATATGACCAGCTTTACTGGCTAAATGCAAGGGAGTAGCACCAAACTGAAAAGATGATCAGATAAAAAAATAAAAACATCAAAATTAAGAGAAGGTAACCATTGTAAAAACAATACTTTCTCTTATATCTTTACATAGTGGAGGTCAACAACATTCATCCTCAATATAGAATAGTCACATTTCCATGTAAATTTTAAACATGGCAAATGCAAATTTGGCAGCAACTGAGCCAAAAACCAGTGAAAACTAAAAATAATTCTTTGACATGTTCATTATTTTCAGAAGAAAATTTAATCAAAATTCATTTTAGTTTTAACTTCAACCTTATAATACTAACATAATACTGAAATGGGTGTTGACTTATAGATACACATACAAAATATAAAATTTGATTGGCTTCTATTTTCTCCTAGTTAAAGAAGATAGATAATTCAAGAGTTTTTAATCGAGGAACTAAATTAATTTTCAAAGTTAAGTCCTCTACAGAATTTAAAACTGGATCATTCAATCAATGAGCACCGACTTAAAAATTTACTTTTCTTTTCGTATTGAAAAAGGAAAAATTCAGACTTGCTTGTAATTGTTTAGATTGTATATTATAAAAACTATCTGGAAAACCACCCAGTTGTATGTTAAGGATTTTAAATTAATTTCTATGGAAGGTCTAAATAGGTTCCTGAGCCCCAAAAAGAAATCAAGGATTTAAACTATGTATTTATAGAATCATCCCTTATTTGAAAATTGCTACTATAATGGACTCTTTGATCCTATCTGAGTACACACTTTTCTGGAAATCTAAATTTTTCTTTTTCTTACTAGATATTTATTGCAGCAATCATTGAAAAATGTTTGTAAAGATTTACAACTCAATGTTTATGCCCTCTGGTGGAAATTGCTTATAGTACAAATACTGGTTGTGGCAGAAATATCTCCTATATGATGGTAAGACATTAGCTAGATGAAGACACTATTGGTGGGAGGTATTTTTGCCACAGCCTGTATAAATAGTCATGATATTCCAATGATAAGGATAAACTTTGGTTTTTTGCAAGGAAATTTCCAGCTAGACTAAATTTCCACCTACACAATTAAACTAAATAATATTGTTTAGCAAATGATATGAACATAACGTAAGAGTCCAGTTTCGCACTATACTTGCATTGTAAATCATCCCTTCCCTAAAATCTCTAGTTTTGTAATCTTAAATATCTATGGTTGAAAACATAATTTGGTATCTCATTAGTAAATACAGAAAATTAGGTGGCCATAGTTGTAGATCTCCTTGAGTTCTGTAAAAATAGATGGACAAATTCAGTAGAATTAAAACTTTGAGATAGTTTTTGGCTTGATGAATATTTGTTAAGATGTGTCGGAAGGTCAAGTATTCAGTTTATTAGTCCTTGATAATTTCAAGAACTTCTGACTCAGACTTAAGAACACAATGCATGATGAAACAAACCAACTGAAGACACTTCAGTTTTAGTGTCAACCAGTATTTTTTTTTTTTTAAGGTGAAGTGCTTACTCCCTGAACATACAAAGGTTCATGAAGACAATGTTTTTTTTTTTAATACTAGCTGTTATGAGAATTGCAACAGAACAATGGTTAACAGCCTGGAAAATAGAATTAGTAAGCAGAGTTCAAATTCTAGATGAGACAGTGTCCACTTCATAGAAATATCTTCAGAAAGGCATCCGTCTCTTCTTGGTAATACACAATTTACAAATGTCACAGCAAAAGCAGCTGTGAGAATCCATGATTGCTGACATCATAAAGAGACATAGCACATAAAGAGAGAAATTCAAAAAGAAAATTACATTGAATTACATAAACCCTGCAGCTTAAAAGAAGCCATTTTTCATGCATTCTTTATAAACCAGAGAACAGAAATTTTCCTTGCTATATCTAAATATTATACAACTTTAAAATAATCATGATTATGTGAGAAATACTCTTGAAATAGGCATGTAAACCTGTACACTACATTGGTTTTATTGAGGAATGGTTTGTGGTGAGTAGTGTTATTTCTAACAATTAGGCTCAAGGTTTTAAATTTGGTGTAGTATATTATTAATTTTATTACATAATGACCCTAGCACATACATCGGACACACAACCACAACTCTCTCATGTAGTTTTACATACCATCTTAATGAAACTAGTATCATAAAGAAATTCACCTCATAACAGCCCACTGTACCACTAATAACAGATTCAAATCCTCTGAAATAAGAAAAATCCTAATCAACAATACCAAAATCCTCTACAAAACCAATTGCAAAAAACGCTTACAAATTCTTGAAGCCATCACAATTAAAAAGTAAAATCCCAACATAAATAAAATAGCATTTAATACTGGAAGAAACATCTTAAAAAGGTAATAATAAATACCAACCCCCTCCAAAATGCTAAAGAACTAATCCAACAACACTGCCTGAATACCCCAAAAATATTATCTATAAAAATAAAAATAACCTACTTCAAACTGAAACATACAGCCATCATGATGTTTGATGACAACTGAAGGTGCTTGGCAAAAACCAAGGAATATTTTTTTTTATTTTTCAACAACTTAGTCCTAAATATAAAGAAACTTGCAAGAAAGCAAGAAAAAACTAAAAGATTATTAAACGGAAAAGATCTGTAGTCTTTAATAACACATGCCTCAGTAATGAAATGCTATCAAAACATACACACATACATACATGGGGATTGCCAACTTGTGCCCGAGTATGGCCATTACTACATATCTTTTTGGAGAATATTTACTGATGTACTGAATGAATGTGGCTCTTTAGCCAAGCAAGGGACCAACATACTCCGACATAAAACAGGGCACTTTAGAGGTGCAACAGCGGGTGTTACATTAGCATGTTACAAAGTTGGGAGGGGGGAGGTGCTGAAAAGTTTGTTGTTCAACTCACTTCACAAAATCTGACCAAATGCCAGATAATATTTTTATAGAGAAGGCCAAAAACTTTTCAGCACTCACACACAAACAGGCACTATCTTTACTTTTACTTGTTAGTTTTTGGCATAATTGGACAAATTAGGTTTTACCCTGTTGGTAACATCAACAGCACAGCCATAACCACACATGGCCTGAACAACTGGCATCAAACCGTCCCGTGCAGCAGCATGCAAGGCATTCTCACCCGTCTCCTGCAAATAAACATCACAATTATGAATGAACCAATTGAACCCTATTTCTACCCACAAAGTTTTTTTTTTTCAGAATGAGTTTTAGATTTTTAGATTATGAACAAAATTTCTAAATTAACAGTTTTGAAGAAAAGTATTTGTCAATTATTTGAAAGTGATACTTTTCTATTTAAAGGGTTACCTAAAATCCATTTAAATTAGAAACATTGACCATTCATTTTTCTCATCAAATATGAAAACAAAAAAGGATAGTATAATCATTTTGAGTTCATAAAAAAATTATAACATATTCAAACTAAATTTCAGTATAAATATTAATAAAATAAAATAAAATTAATATATGAGAGAGAGAGGGGGGTGAAAGGGGGATGTGGGGAGAGATAGAGAGGGATGGTGAAAGAGAAATATCCTTTTCTGCAGAGATATCAGAAGCATGAAACAGGTCAACTAAGAGAGAGGTTTTTCTTGTTTAATGGCATATCAACCTCTGTAGGTCATTTTAGTGCCAAATCCTTTATCTAGTACACTTGGGATTTGTAAGAAAGTTTATAGTTAAATTCTTTACAGAGAAGTCTTTTGGCTAAAGAGGTTCTAAAGAAAACAAACATTGATTGCAAGATATTATATCTTTGTGTAAAGCCTCACCTGGTTTATAAAGTTACAGATGTTATTCAGGTTGGGTGGGCTGAAAAACTTGTTCATGCCTCTTACTTTTTTTTTTATAGAATTTTCCTGGATATGTTTAAAGTCAGTGCAGTCTATAAGTATGTGCTTGATGGTATATCATTCTTGGTATGGTATACATATGAAGGTTCCCTTGTTTTTGAGGAGAAAAGAATAGGACAAGTGAGTATGACCAATATGAAGTCTAGTTCAGGCAATCTCTTCTTTTTTTTTTATCTTTCTATATCCTAGGATGGGTTGGATTATTTTATTTTATTTTGTGTGCACTTATTTTTGGTAATGGATTTGCATATGGTTAACTAAGAGAAAAAAATCTAAGTGTTTATTTGATAATAAAGTAAGATTTCAAATACTAATCTTAAAACAGGTAAACTCTTTCCAGTTAAGAACATTGGTACAACAGTCTGCCTACCCAACATTCCCACATCACATTAAGCTAGGCTTTGTAAATATCAGGTCATCCCATAAGTTCTGTCCGAATATTAACTTTTTGTTAAAATGAACGAAATTTAAAGAGTATTTTATAATGTCTAATGGAGCTGAACATTATTTTTATATTTAGATGCATTTAAACTGATCAAATTTTATTTCAGAGAACAATAAAATTAAATTTTGTTTGATTAAAACCCTGCTAAAAGGAAGTACTCAAGAATCATTTGAGGCACATAATGCTTTATGAGTTCAAGAAAGGAAATTCAGCAGCTGAAGCGGCTAGAAACATTCACTCAGTTTATGGAGGGGAATGTGTGAATGAAAGAACTTGCAGAAGATGGTTTACAAAATTCAGAGATGGAGATTTCACCCTTGAAGATGAAGATTGAACCGGACATCCAGTTGAGTTTTATGAAAAGCTTCTTGAAGCAGCCCTTGAAGAAAATCCTGCTTTATCAGTTGAGGAATTGGCAGTGGTTCTCAGTTCAAACCATACAACTGTTCATCGTCATCTTCAACAACTTGGAAAAGTTCCTAAACTTGGAAAATGGGTGCCTTATGAATTGTCTGAAAACAACCTCAAATCCCGAGTTGACATCTGCTCTTCTCTCCATTCTTGCCAACTTGTTTCACCTTTTTTGGATAGACTTGTGACGAAAAATGGATCTTTTATCGAAATGTTAAGCGTCGTAGACAGTGGCTTGGTAAAGGGGAAGGACCCCAGCCACAGCCAAGAAGGGAACTTCATGGGCAAAAGGTTCTTCTTTCAATCTGGTGGGATCGCCAAGGAATAATCCATTTTGAATTCTTACCACCTAATGCAACAATTAATGCTCAAATATACTGTCAGTAATTAGAACATTTCAACCAAGCTTTGAGGAAAAAAAGACCTGCTCTAGTGAATCGAAAAGAAGTGATGTTTCATCAGGATAAGGCATGACCCCCACACAGCAAGAATCACGTCACAAAAGATCAAAGAACTTGGTTGGGAGAATATTCCTCATCCACCTTATTCTCCTGATCTTGCTCCTTCAGACTACCATTTCTTTTGTAGCTTACAGAATCATTTGGAAGAAACAGCTTTTGTAACACAGGAAGAGGTTAAAACTAACATTTGTGAGTTCTTTGAATCAAAGCCAAAAGAATTTTACAGTAATGGAATTAGTAAGCTTGTTAATAGATGGAAGGAAGTCATAGATAATCAGGGAAAATACATTGTTGATTGAATCTGTAATTAAATGTAACATTTAGTCACTTGTTTTCTTTATTCAAAATTCGGACAGAACTTATGGGATGACCTGATATCAATATACCTATTATATATACTATAAGGAAACTTTGCTATTTACTAACTTTAATAAGAACATATTTAAAAGATATGGTTGAAAAATTCCAGAAAACAACAGAAAAATAAAGAAATATTTTGAAAACCCAATTAAAATATTTTGAGTTTTTCAGATTGCATTTCAAAAATAGGATTTACCAAATCTGTAGAGTCAAGGTCACAACCTTTGTTGATCAGCAATAATGCAATTTGAACATGACGTCTGTTACATGCTAGGTGCAAAGGGGTGCGGCCATTCTAAAAAGAATACAAGAAAAGAAAAGTAAATTAAAACTGCAACAAGTAAAAAATAAAATAACAGCTAATACTAGTAAGACCAAGACTGTTTAATAAATTACTAAATGACTAACACATTTATTAGTGTTTATATAATTGAATAAGTTTTAAATACCAAAGCAGGTCAAAAGAAGTTATTACATGTGCATTGTAAGTGGTGAATGATATAGAAATAATTGAAGCTATTAATTTGAAAAACTAACGAATAAGAATATAAATCGTTTAGAGAAAATAAACCATTAAAAAGTCTAATATAAAAAGAAAAGCAAGGCACCTCACACTGGAATTGGTTACTAACAAAGTGATCTGAGACAACTATGTACTATGTTCAATACACATTAGATGATTTACATTTATGGCATTGTGCCAAGCAAGAAAACAAAGAAATTCAATTGTCCAAACAATTTAGAAACTTAATGACTTTTCAAAAGTCATTGACTTTCCAAATTTGGAATTTTGACAATTATAAACTATAGCATTTCTTTGCCATTTCTAGCAAAGGTTTTTTTTTTCCGGTTGTATTTTGAATTAATCTATTCAAGTAATATTGTAGACTGACAGTACAGACAAAAGGGTTGCAATTAGAGTTGTTTCTTTCTAGCTGTATTCCTTGTATTTTGAGTGAGATACGACACTGTGTTGTCTTCAGGAACCTTATAGCATATGAGGTATGCCTGGTTCCAGAGATTCCTATCCTGTAGCTGTGACTTCTCTCCATCTTGATTGCACCAAAAGAAGGAGGGTCAGAGTATTCTGATATCTGTGTAACACTGGTTTCAAGGACTGGGCAATTTTTGTCTTTGGTCCACATTGTGGCCGTCCTCCTTAAAATTGACCACATATCACTTTCTATGAGTGTAATTGAGAAGGAAACTGTTGTAGATTCCCTTCATTAGAGTCATCATTAACAATATCTGATAATAGACAAGATTTTAGTAAACTAACAATGGCCATGCTGTTGAACTTACCTTGTCCACCATACTGGTCAAAGCATTATACTCTAGCAAAACACGGACACATTCTGAGTGGCCTCTGGCAGCAGCACAATGGAGGGGAGTTTCCCCATCCTGTTAAGAAAAGAAGAAGAACCCAATTAAAAATATAAAAGGAATTTTGGACAGTCATATGACAAACAGTCAAGATTTTATGAAATTTTACTGCCACCAACCAAACTGGAATAAAATCAACCAAGGTTGAAAGTATGACATTTATAGGAAAACATGTCAGCCAAAACAAACATCAGAAGACATTGCTGAAAAGTTCTTAGCCCAACCCACCACACAAAATCAGATGTTTTCCTGATGATTGATTAATAAAATATTGATTTGGATAAGTGGGTTTACACAAGAAGTTTTTCAGCACACCACAATAGATGGTGAATCTGATTTAAATATATATTTCCAAAACTTACTATACTAGACTGTACAAATCACTGGTAGCCTCCATTCTTTTATATGGATGGATGGGATGGACACTGTTAGCAAAAACAACGAGAAAGATCCAAGTGGAATTTGTGTGGAAAAGGGATGAAAGTTTTGTGGGCCACCAGGAACCTCTTTTTACCATTGTCAAATGGAGAAAAATGGCGTGGTTTGGACACATTACAAGGCATGACAGCCTGTCCAAGACCATCATGCAAGGTGCCATTGAAGGTGGACGTAGGAGAGGACGTCAATGTAAAAACTGGTTGGACAATGTCAAACAATGGACAAGTATGACTGTACCATAATTGCTGATGGCTGCCATTGATAGACCATTGTGGAGGAGATTTAGTGTTGCTTCTACATTCGGATCCCCATCCTACAAAGTTAATGGGATGATGATGATGATCTTTGTCCAGTCGAAATGGCAGATTTTTAATCTCAGTCACATGACTGCTTAACAAAAATATTTTTAAAAAGTTAATGAATAATTTACAGTATTTTTAAGAACATTTTTTTTTTACTCAGAGGTTTTGTAATGGGTGCTTGTAAGAAAAAGGAATTATTTATCTACAATGTTAATATTTTTACTTTTTATCTGAAAGTGGGTAAGGCCAACAACTAACAAGGCCACATCCTCATATATATTTGTGAGTGCTTGTGTTAACAAATCATACATTTCTAATAAATCTTTTAATGCAGTTTTAATGTTTATGTAATTATTACAAACTTGTGACCAGAGGAAAAGGTACATTAACATTTTTTGCAGTTAAAGATTTTTAATCTTTGTTTTTATTCTTAATTCTTGGAAACAAAAAAATTCCAAAATTAATAAAAAAAAAAAAAAAAAAAAAAAAAAGGTAATTTTTTTTTTTTTTTTTATAAGTGCTGATCTGGAACAAGAGTACAACTATTCTGAATATGTGCTTTATTTTATCATGTGAAATATTGTATTCATTAAGAATTTTAGACAGGAATTAAATAACTGACCAATTAGCCTAGAAAACATTTTCTGACAGAGCAGAAATCAAAATCCCTTGACTGTATTTTTAAGTCTATTTTTGCAGAATTAGCATTTGTATGCTGATCAGTTAACACAAAACATCAATGAAGATGTATTCTAAAATATTCATTTAAATGAAATAAAGCAATAGTAAATATTAATATAATATTAAGTGAAGAATCCTCTGAAGAGGTTTTGTCTTTAGCAGTTCACATCTACAAAAGTTCCTTTTCTTTCAAACATAATTCTAAGAGTCTGAAAATACCACATATAAATATAAGAATCAAGTTTCAAAAGAAACATTTTGGTTAGTTATGGTAGGGGAGAAGGAGATATCAGTGAAAGGAATATGGCAGCAGATGGGTAAATAAATATTAACCAAAACATGCAGGTAAGTTAATGAAGTTTTGAAAACAAGACAAAATGAAAAGGATTTTAAAAATGGATTGTTTTACAAGAGACAAGCATTTGTATTTACAGTCTCTCCAACTACAGAGATATTATTTTTTTTTTGTTTTATATTCATATTATATCTCAGTGTTGCCTGAATACGTTACTTTTGAAAGCCACTTCATTTAGAATACTTTAAAATAAGTTGGACTAATTGAGGCTACTAACGAGAGAAAAAGTAAAGTTAATTCCAAATATAGTATTGTTGAACTTTTAAATATAAATAAATAATTCATTACTTGTTAGCAGAATCTGGCAATCCAGCTCAATTGTTTAAATATGTTTGATACTTTACTGTGTATCATGATTTCCAATGCAATTGAATTATTTTTATTCTTGGCTTTCATTTGTTGAAACTTTATAGATTAGAAGCCATGAAAATTATTAAGTAAAATTTTATTTATATCATAGAATTAGAAGACTATTTAGTCTAGTTTTGACTGTCAAGTTGACCTTGCCTACAAGCTAAAACAAAATGGCTTTCAGCTAAGGATAGCATCAATTGATCTATATGAAATAGGGAGGGTGAGAAAGCATCTACCAAAAGAACATAATGATATCAAAAAGGATTTTTTTTTAGATGAATTTCATGATAAACAGTCAGAATTATGAACAAATTAAGTTTTGCACACATTTATATATATATATATATATATATATATATATATATATATATATATATATATATACACACACACACATTTTAAAAGACATTTTTATAGATACAAATATTTAAGTAAATGCTCTGTTTATAATAAACAGTATTAAACAACATTTACCAGCCTGAATGTTGTTTAATACTGTTTATTATAAACAGAGCATTTACTTAAATATTTGTATCTATGAAAAGAATGTATAAACATAATGTCTTAAAATAATTGTCGGACTTTGTCCATTTCATAATAAATATAATAAAATATATATATATATATATATGTGTGTATATATATATATATATATATATATATATATATATATATATATATATTATGTTAGTTTCTAACAAAATGAGCTGAAATACAGTGTTTGCTATGAAGCAGACATTTCTTTTTAGCCTTATAAATGGTAGGGGGAATTAAGGTTAAATTCTACCTCCAAGGTCTTCAGAGGTAGAATTAATTTAATCTTTATTGTAGTGAAACAATTATTTTTATTTTATTTAAAAGATCACTGACCTAATCTTGACCTCTCTATGCTTTTCCCATGATTAGTGTTATGTTGGTTGTTATAGATTTCCAAACAGCCTTTCCGTATTGGCACCCAATGAGAAAAGCAGTCATGTGCATACGCAGAAGCTCTGTCAAATGAAGAGACTACATCATTTGTTTTGTGCATCAGAATTTTTCTTCCATTAATAGCTACTACTAATTTCGTTCACAAATCATTTTGTTTGTTGTGCATTAAGAACAATGTTTAATTTTTTTTTTTTTTTTTTACTGTTATACTTGAAGTTATTTTTTCCTAGGCAATGTAAACGTGTCTGTAGAGTATCATATCTATGTTCTGAAGATTGCCAACAATAACTGAATAGAACCAAATAAAAACTAGGCAAGAAATTCCTGGTCATGGGCAGTGAAAATAAAACAATTTACTCCCATAGATTAAATAAAGGGTTCAGTTCAAATTGTAGTTTTATCTGGACTGACATGCATCTGATGAAGGCCAGAGTGCACAATGACCCAAACTGTGATAACAAAAAAGATGAATCCAAGTACATACTGCCTGGTCCAGAGATTGAACTTGCAATTACTATATCACCAAATTCATGAACCAATGCTTTAATCCACTAGGCTATTTTTCTGTGGGACAATCCTAAGTTGAGAACTTGGAGCCTTAAACCTAACCTCCCTGCTGATGAGTGCTACTGCTGCTATTTGTTACACTTGACAACAAGCAGGTCATCTACCTTTTATAATATTTAATACAAGAATCTTCATAGTTCTGCTATCCCCACCAATTTTACCTTCGATAAAGATTCTATTTTTTTTAATCCTACTTTTAGCTGATGAAATACATAAACAACATTAAGTAATAGTGTACTAAAAGTTATTATACAGCCTGATATACTAATAATACCTAGAGTAAACAATACAGTAGAATTTATCCAGTATGTTAATACTTTTGTTTTCATTAGGGAATTTAGATTCAAGCTTAAGGTCTTTAATTGCACAGGTTAGTTTCTTTCTGAGCAAAGTATATTAAATCAAACAGCGTTAAAGTCTGCTGCCCTAACCATTGAGCTATTACCAACATAGAAACATGAAACACAGGGATAAGTGAGCTTAAAATGTCAAGTGGATGATTTGGTCATATGGAATAATTCTAAATAATGTTAAAAAGTGGGTATGTTTTTGTGTAAATGTGAAAGAGGAAAGTGCACAAAGGAACGGTTGAGTGTGAAGCAAAGGTTAAAATCATTAGACAATGAGTAAATAACAAGTTTACATTATATATATATATATATATATATATATATATATATATATATATCATGACAGACTCATGTTGCCAAAAGAACACCTTCATGCAATAACATGAAATGTACATTACATGATTGTACAATCATTATGCCATATTATTTTGTGTAATGTGAATAATTTATTCAATTTCTTTTGCTTCTGCATGCATGCATGTGTGTTTTTTTCATGTTGACCACAACAGATAAACAAAACTGCAGAAAGACAATGAAAAAAAACAAATTGGCAACAATAATGTTTGCTTGTAGGCAGAATAAAATTCAAATACACTGAAGAATAATGAATTTCTGAAAAATAAAGAAAAATGCATATGAAAAATAAAGTAGCTTTCTAGGCTTTATTTAAATTGCAATTAAATTTTATTGGTGCCTTTAAACATTTTAATAAATTTTCATAAAAATGGAAAGATTAAAAACATTTTTTTTTTAAAGAACTTTCATTCTGCTTTCAAAACCTAAATAAAAAAAAAATTTCCACCATTTGTGCTTATATCAAAAGGTTATACAAGTTTTAGATTACAACTGGAAAAGATTTTTATAAGAATATTTACAAAAATCTCAAGTGAAAAGAAGAGAGGAAGGGCATTAGGAGAAAAATAAAAACTAACAAGTTTTTTTTTTTTTATCCTACAGTCTTCCATAAATTGTCTTAGAAAATTTTTACATTATTTCAAAATATTAATTACAGTAGCATGCAAATAAGTTTTAAATTTTGTGAAAGAAAAGAGAAAAATAGCTGAATTAATGATATTCAAAAGATAGCAAAAATTGCTGTGAAAAAAATGATTCTCTGAAAGATAAAATAAAATCATTGTCTTTCAACATGTGATTTATTTTTTTAATTTTCATCAAATCTAATGTCATCAACTAAAGTGGATTTAAAAAAAAAGTTTCAAATATACAAAGTTGGCTTGACATTTTTGAATATTTGAAAACTTGTTGATGTAACATGGTGACCAAACAAATAGGATAGATTAATAAGTGAACTTTATTGACCAATTCATTCAGTTTGACACCCAGTCCCTCTTGATACACCACACCAGTGTCTTCCCTCAAGACTAAATCAAACTTAGTAAATGATTTATTTTGGACATACAGGAAGATAATAAATGATAAGTTTTACCTTGTTCAAGAGAACAAAAATATTGCCAATAAGTAAAAATTTTATTTATTTTGAGCATAAATTATATAATTATTATTTTTTTTAAATCTTGTTCCGATGAAATAAGCAGTGTTATTTACCTTATTCTGGATAGACACCTGGATAACATACAATACTATTTACCTTGTTCTGGATATTCATCTGAGCACCAGCGGCAGACAGGGCATATGCTATCTGCAGGAAGCCATGCCAGGCCGCATTGTGAAGCGCTGTCTCACCAAGCTGACAAAAAAACAATTCACCTTGTTTTATATAAAGACAGAAAAATATACGAGATGAAGATATAATAAACAGCAACAATAAAGCCATTGTTGATTAGCATGATTGCATCTTTGGCATGTCAGATATGACCTTTTGTTCAACATGTAGAGATTTGAAGCAGGATTTACCTTTTAGATTTCTTGAATCATCCTTTACCAATTCACAGCTGGTTTAAACAGATGACCCAGAAATACAATAATATAATCAAGAATGTCTTATAAAAAGCTAATATGGAAAATATAAAATTGTTAGCCTAGTTTTAGGAATAAAACTTGATTCAGTTTCAGTTTCTGTATTTTTTGTAAAAAAAAAAAATCTTGCCAGTTTTCTGGTTTAATTCTGTTAAAATTAAATTCTTAAATTATTTGAGATAATTATTTGAATTTGCATTCTTAGCTGCCTAATGTAAGGCATTGAGGGACACATTTTTATACCCCACCCTTATTTATTAATTCCATATCCTCCTCCACACCCATGGCTTAAACAGAAAACAATAAATATAGTTGGTCAAATATTTTTGCTTGCATTTTGATATGGTCGGGTATGTGTTGAAAGATTCTATTAGATCACACTGTTTAAAAAGAAATAGGGTCCTGTTGTTATTTTTTATTCTTTCAAGAATTATCAGGTTTTATTCTAGAATATTAGAAGAGAAAAGAGAAGAGAAGAGAAAAGAAGAGAAACAAGAGGACAAAGGAAAAAAATGAGAAATGGAGAAAAGAAAAAGAAAAGAAAAAAAGAAAAAGAATTTTTTCATTGTTAATACGTAAGTTTATTATTACATTCTGCAGCCTCAATTATCAGGTTTCATTCTTGAATATTAAAAGAGAGAAGAGAAGAGAAAAGAGAAAAGAAAAGAGAAAAGAGAAAGAAAAAGAGAAAAGAGAAAGAAAAAGAGAAAAGAGAAAGAAAAAAGAAAAAGAAAGAAAAAAGAAAAAGAAAGAAAAAGAAAAAAAAAAAGAAAAAGAAAAAGAAAGAAAAAAGAAAAAGAAAGAAAAAGAAAAGAGAAAGAAAAAGAAAAAGAGAAAAGAGAAAGAAAAAGAGAAAAGAGAAAGAAAAAGAGAAAAGAGAAAGAAAAAGAGAAAAGAGAAACGAGAGGAGAAAGAGACAAGGAAAAAGAGAACAGAAAAGAAAAAAGGAAAAACAATGAGAAATGGAGAAAAGTAAAAGAAAAGAGAAAAAAAAAAATTTTTTTTTCATTGTTAATACACAAGTTCATCATTAGATTCTGCAGCATCAACAAATTCAAAATGTTGAATTCGATTTCCATGATACATCGGGACAGTGTGTAAGGCATCATTTGACTTTTTACATATAAAAAGTTTGAAAGAAATTTAATAATGAGATATGTTCAGCTATTTGCTAGTAAAGCAAATAAAATATCTACTGCTATGCATAAAATAAATAGCTGGGTATTAACAGTAGTGGCTCTGAAAAGAAACATTTTAGTTAAATTGTAAATTTTAGATCCTTTAAATGATTTTCTGAACTCACTTTTATTAAATACTGAAAAAAGTTACCCACTTCCTATGTTAGCGCTTAAAAGTAATGTCCCTTAAAAAGCAAAAAAGCTAAGAAAAGGAAAAAAATCCTTTGTAAAAATGAAATTATATAAAGAGTAATAAAAAGATTTGAGAACAAAAATTCAGAATGAGCCATTTGTTGCTTCACAAACATTTTCTAAAAAGTCTTATCATTGAATATATTTTTTCTTTTGCATAGATTTGTTTAGGGTGTGTCATTTGGGATGTGCATTTAATTAAAAATAAATGATGCAGCCTGAAACCAGTGAGTTGGATTGCAGATTCATTCTGAATCACCTTAGCCATACCATTAACATTTTTTCAATGATAAGGAAACAAGGTAAAAGGAATCCTTGCTTTACTGCAGAATTACTCAACTGAATACAACTCTTAACAAGTGTTAGAAAGAAGGAAAAAAAAGCCTTGTAAATGAAAAACCATGACATGATAGATTGGATTAATTTTTTTTAAATTAAATAGTTGACTATCAATTTCTCTTATCAAAATAAAATGACTCATGAAGAAGATAAACAACTAAAAAAAATTAGCCTCTGTTTGGTGGCTTTTTTCTCGGCCAGATCGTATGCACTTGTTTGACAGTAAGCCATTCCAGTTTTATATAAGGTAATATAAATCACTACGGTAATATGGATAGACTCCAGTTTGGACCTTCTACTTTTTTTCTATCTTGATTGGTTGTGCAGTTTTCTTGATAAAAATAATGTACATGATACCTAAGACAATGGTTCCAAGGATACATATTTTTTTTTTAAACAGTTTAATAAAGGTAATTTTTAATTACCAAAATAAAGCATAAGTAGCGAATTTATAGAAATTCCTAATGATAAAAACACAGATAGCATTATGTAAGGATTCAAATACCTAAAGTAGCAGCAAACATGTTAAAGCAAAAAATGCCCTTACTTCAACAGAATAAAATGTCCTTATATTTTTTTTAAGATTTTGAAAGTTGAACAGTTTAAGGTGGATAGCTAAAGAGAAATAGTTATAGAGAAAAACATCCAGTTTTATTCTTGTTTGAAGAAAAAAAAAAAAAAAATGATATTTATACATACGTTTTTATTTCAACTGAAAATGCTTAAATTTCATAATCATCACAACTAATTAAGTCTGAATAGAATGTTGTAAGTTGAGTAATACCCAGTGAAATTATCACTTTGTTTATGATGGCTCACATAAAATGCAACACCGGAATCCGAAAACGCATTGGAGTAGGGAAAGATGCCTTCTAAACACTAATATTTGATTTATATTTATGATATAGCCCTTCTACTGATCAGCTTTTAAGGTTTGATTTATTAACCCTTGTTCTTTATACCAATACTGACTATAGGGCCACAACCTCACTATTTTATATGTTGCAGCTGTGGTTAATGTAGAAAATAGGCTTTTACAGATAGAGTTGCAGTTTTGTATTAAGAGGAGTTGTTCTTCTAGACTGGTTGCCAACTGAGGCTTGAGAGCCCAATATATCTTGTTATTTACCCTATTAGTTCGGGGAAAGAAGAAGAGATGGATTCATAGCTTTCACAAAACTATTTGTACAAAAGTGAACGCAATGACCTCAGCTGGAATTTAAACTTAAAGCTGATCCCATTTTTAGTGTCCACAATTGTTACATGCACATCATAAATCACTGGTATTAATCATTTAGTCAGTCATTATTTTGTAATATATTGACTCCATCATTTTAGATTTATCACAAGAGATGCAAATATGCTACAAGCAATAGAAGCACAAAGCTGGGGTCCAATCAACAAAATCTGTGTTTTCAAAAGTTATTGAACTAAAACTAATTTGCAAGATATATTTCAAAAGACTAAAACAGGTAAAAGTATTTAATTCTAACTGGAAAAAACCCCATAAACTCACTGGGTTCTTTTAAAAATCATTTCATGATACAAAATGCCTTTCAAAAGAAGGCCTTTCCATTCAAGCAATAATGACAATTTATACTAATTTTAGTATTTACCATATTATAATTTTCCAAAGCAAACATCATTCCCAACAAAACAAACAGAAATCTTCTACTTAGGGAAAACACTCATATTTATTGAAATAACACAAAATATAGATGCACTTAATTTCATTTATTTCAAGCTTTTTTTTTTTTTCAAAAATAATATTTATATTTTTATTACACATACCTGTTTTTTCTTGATATATATTTACAAAATACATAATGCAGCAAACCAGCATGCATCTACAGGATGCGACAGGTGAATTGTCACCATTTTATATTTTTTAATTTTGCATGTAGTTTGTTTTTGTTGACTGCACAGTATAATAGAGTCAGTAGGGCACCATCTTTGAGAAAAAGAGAACCATGATGCAATTCATTCTGCCAGAAATTTGGAAATGGCATTCTGTACTGGCATTTGCACTGGAAGCTCCAATACGAACATTGTTGAGTGTTTGGGTGTCAATCGGAGGACAATGCAAAAGTTTCAGAAAGAGTTGGATGAGTCTAATGGTGATTATGAAGGTGTTTTCAGTGATCACTAGTGATGGAAATGTTATGCTTCCATTCATCTTTCCACAGGGCTTCAGACTCAACACAGAGGCCTACATCAATTGCCTTGAGTGAGTAGTGCTATCCTGAGTCAAGAGGGTGGCTGCTGAAAGACACTATCTGGCAACAGGACTCTGCACCATACCACACAAACAAGAGAACCCAGGCATGGTGGTCAGACAATTTCTGCAACCATATCATCCCTTAAATCTGGCCACCTAACTTCCCAGACTTCAACCCCTTTGATTATTATGTGTGGGGTGCAGATGAGCGAGAGAGCAACAAAACTCCTTGTAACACCAAAGATGAACTGAAGGCAAAGATTATAACAGCATTCACCAACTTAAATAAGGAGACCATCCAGCAGAGTTGGAGGAGATTCTGAAGTCGTCTGGAGGCTGTGGTTGAGGCTAATGACGATTTTATTGAATAAATTTACTCTTTAGTATTTCAAGATTTTGTGTAATTTTGGTAAATATATCTGTTAAAATGAGATATCAGTATTATTTTCAATTTTTTTGTTTGTTTGTTTGCATAATTTAGGCGACAATTTATCCATCGCACACTGTATTTACTTATTTATTTACCATCAAGTCATGTGACAATTTTCCAATAAGTAAATTGAACAGTTAGAAAAATCTAAACAGAGCAGGTAAAGTCAATGTTACTTTTTAAATACTATCTATGTCCCATAATAGTTAGTACATCTGCATACACATTTCATACAATAAATGTAATAACTTATGGGACAAAGGTAATTGTAAAATCAAATTTGGATATTATATAGGATATTATTATGGTTTCTAGTTCACAGTAAGATTGTGTAGAAATTTGTATTTCAAATGGCAATATTTGAAGATAAAATTAATCTCAAATTATATGAGAAATATCAACAAAAGAAAGGC